TGCAGCCACATTCTTAAAATGAAAAAGCATTTCTGCAAATGCATTTTCATTTTCAAATTTTACATTTCAAATTGAATTTTGGTATCTATTTGCTGGGGCATATTTTGAAAATTAAATCTCAAATGTCTTTTTCTTTTTCATTTTAGAATGAGCGTCTTGAAGAAGAAAATTTAAATAGGTTTTTTTTATGAATGATTATTAATTTATTAGCCACATTCTTAAAATGAAAAAGCATTTCTGCAAATGCATTTTCATTTGAATTTTGGTCACGATGTGCTTCCATACTCCACTACAGAGTTTTCTCTTATTTGCTCACAGTGTATTCTTAGTAGGATGTACCAGGATAAGTATCAGGACATGTTTCTGTAGTCTGAGCTGCTGATTTCTCTCAGGGAATCAGAAGATCTATCAGAGAACAGCAAGGTGAGTGATTATGTGTGATACTTAGGCTGCAGTAAAACTACTGTATAATATATAATTGAATAATATAATAATGCTTAATGCCTAATCTACGTATAGATTTTGTTTGATTTATTTAGTTGTGACTTAATTTGAAGAAATTCAACTTTGATTTAGTTATGGATTTTGTGTTGTTACAAAATAGTTTTTACACAGTCCAATATGTTGGTAGAGCTTTTATCTTTGTGACTGGTATATACCGTAATTAAAATGATGATAATGAAAATAAATAAGGGATACTGGATTTTACCCTTAATCACTTGAGTGTCCTTCAAACCCTGTACATTCAGTGTACTTTTATTGTTTCTGGTTCATTGACAAATGCTGACACATTGTGTTACTCTAGCTGCCATGACAACATGCAGAAGATTGCTACTGCTCCTTGGATTCGTGGGATCCATGTTTCTCATCATATTGACCTCTCACCAATGGGACATGTCAAAAGAAAAAAGAGGTACAATATGTCTGTGTGTGTTTGTTTGTTTCAATTCCTGCTGTTCATCCTGGAACAAATGTTATTTGTTTAAATAATGTTTTGCTTGTTTTTGTGCTCCACTGCATGTGAAATGGTTTTGGAATTAAAAAGTGGATTAGTAGATGACGGATTTTTGACCTCACCCCTGGTTACTTTTGGATTAAAAGCTAACTCTTAAAAATAAAGAAGCAGAGAAAAGAAGAAATATTTGCCCTCTGGCTTTCACCTCTCCCTGTCATCTCCTCTCAAACAAAGGCGAACCTAAAGCAATATTAATTTAGCACTAATGATTTTAGCAAGTTACAACACATATTCCTATTCTTCTTATCACAGTGGAGAAGATCCATCATCTACAGGAACTGAGAAAGCAGCTGCTAAGAGAAGTGTGTGATGGTGACAAAGAGGCATTTTCTGAGGGGAAGCACACCGTAGAAGACATGAGTGACAAAGAGCTGGAGAACCTCATTGTGGATGACAGACATGGAATCATTTACTGTTACATTCCCAAGGTGATACAGACTTTAACACACACAACACACCCCCAGTAACTAAATTCGTTTATTGAGCATTTCAGGCCTAAACGGTACTTATTTGATTGGATTCTCATCTAAATCCATCATATTTAGTTCATTTAAGTACATCTCACAAATCTGTAATCTGCACTGCACACCCACTGACCATAGTTTTATCTTCAGCTCAGCTCCAAAATGGACTAATGACATTCCCCTCAGCTAAACATTGAGTTAAGTGCTAATTAAAAGCTAAACTAAGATGGCGAACATCAGTGTGAGCATGTTTATGTTAGCATGTAGCTGAGCGTACAATATAGCAGGACCGAATCTATGTTCCAAGAGTACTAAGTTCCCTAACTCCCTAACTCCCTAATCCTAAACCTAACCCTGGAGCTGGGGAACACAGGACCCTGGGAATACCCTGGGAATGACCGCAGCATCAGATAAGTATAGCCTTAGACCTTTAAACCTGTTCTTATCTACAGGTGGCGTGCACCAACTGGAAAAGGGTTATGTTTGTCCTGAACCAGAGCGAGCCATATCATGACCCCATGTCCATACCCGGTGACGTGGTCCACATGCGCGGCAAGCACACTCTGCTAAACAGCTTCCCAAGAATAGAGAGGAAGGTCAGTTCAGTGAAGTTCAATCAGAAGTGTCCTTGAAGTAATAAATTGAAAATGTACCCACCTTTGTTTCTAGAGTAGTTAGAACATGTAGGACTCCATTAGTCCCATGAATAGTTGATTCAATCAGAACAGGGTTAGTGTGACAGAGGGTTGATGTATATTTGTTGACTACAGGCAAAGCTGAACCACTACACCAAGTTCCTGTTTGTGCGGGACCCATTTGTCCGCCTCATCTCCGCCTATCGAGACAAGTTCCAGCGGCACAATGAGTACTACTATGAGAAATTTGCCCGTTACATTCTGCGCCAGTATGGCAACCTGTCTGACCCACCACAGACAGAGGATGAGGCGTTCGCATCCGGCGTACGCCCCTCGTTTTACAACTTTATTCAGTACCTGTTGGACCCGAGGACAGAGAAGCGAGAGCCCCTTGAACCCCACTGGAGGCAGATGCACCGCCTGTGCCACCCCTGCCACATACAGTAAGGCAGTTTTTATTAGCTGTAAAGGTCATGTGGAGGGTTTATTGACCTGCAGAAATATTACCATTTTACAAATAATTCTAATATTTTTTTAACAACAAAAATAAATTTAAATGAAAAAAAAACCGATTAGTAGTAGTAATAGTAAACTGATCTTGATGTATAAAATTGTTGGAATGTCCCTTTAACATCTGGAAATGACCAATTAATTCAATGTTAATACAAAACCATGCTTATTGCAGATGGATTTCACCAATGGTTTCACATTGGTTTGTTTTACTTCTCAGGTATGATTTTGTTGGCCATCAGGAGACTCTTCAGGAGGATGCTAAGCAGCTGCTGAAGATCTTACAGCTGAAGGACGTCATCAACTTCCCTCCTTCCTATGAAAACATGACTTCCCCGGATTCTGTGTTGAACTGGTTCAGAACAGTGCCTCTAGAGGACAGGAGGAAGCTGTACAAGCTCTATGAAGGTGACTTTAGGCTTTTTGGCTACAGAAAGCCGATTCAGTTGCTTGATGATTGAGATGAAGTCATGATTGAACTTCACTTGTCCCTATGCAGACAGTAGGCATAACCACAATATTTACCTCTGAGCAAACCCTAACAAATCACAAAGGAAAATGCAAATGTTTGGCATTCTCTAATACAGGAATTATATGTCATTACATAATGGTTGTCTTCATGCATTGGTTTACTAATTTTGCACATTCTTAACTTTTCTACTGTACACCACTGAAATCTGTTGGCTAAAAGCATCAAATAAATGAGAAACAAAATGAGGTTATCAAGTTTCTAAGTAATTGTCTGTGTTTTCTGTACTTCTCTTCCTGTTTTCAAATATTTCTTAACAATTTAAATAAATGTCACAGTGACCAACCCAAAGAGAATTATAACTCAACTTTGCAATTCACCTTTAGCCTCTTTTAGCTAATTGTTTTGGTTTTATGGCCCACAGCTTCACTGTTTTGGTTCACTCTTACTGCTCATGTCAGTGTCCTCTATAGCAGCACAGTGCAGCTGTTCAGTGAAAAAGCTCTGATGAACCCCCCACACACAGTACCTGTGGCATATAATGCTACAGCAGCCTATTGGCTGTAAACGTTTTGTTATGTTTGAACAGAGCCTAAACGTTTTTTAATCTGTAGGCTTAGCGAAGATAACTTGCTGCTGGCTGTGGCCGGTTGTACAGTGCAAAGTGGTATCCATCTTCTCTTCTAATTCTTCAACAAAGGGTATTTCCAAAATGTCAACTGTGGCAGCTGTTAAGTCGAAGATGGACTATATATTTCATATCTTAAAATGTACTAAACCTCACTTACAGCCACAGATAACTTCAGACACACTTGCAAGTTGCAGAATTTGCAGAAAGAAGCACACTGCACCATTTGTTTCAAATCTTTAAACTTCACTCACATTCCGAACAGTGATACCCGGGTAATAGCAACTTTTTTAGGCTTTATTACAAAACAACATGACAAAAACAATACATTTTTATGTTGAAATCCACACTCACAAAACAAGGTGATGGTGGCTTTGTGTCTGGCAAGGTCCATTCGATGAGGCTAAAATTAATTTAAACTTTTTGAAAGTCATTTATCTTCTGTCTCTAAGTAACTGTTAATGTGAACAGTGACAGATCTGGGCAGCTGTCAGTCACCTTAAATCTGCTGTGCATCTTTAACTTTCCACACTGACAAAGATCTGACAGGTGACCTTCAACCCCATCATTCTCTTGGCGTCTGCGGCAGTGTAGGCAGGGACAGCCCCGTCACGGTCACTGTAGCCTGTCTGAGGGCTCTGCAGTGAATTTATAGTTCTTTAGTCTCTGACAGTGACATCTCTCTGTTTGAAGCCCAGAACTGGTGTAGTCTGACTGGGAAGTCTATGGCTCAGCAGTCCTTTGGTGCCTTTGGACCCATCAGGGTCTGGGATTGAAGTGATGTGTCAGAGAGAGGAATAGAAATAGAGAGACAGAGAGAGGTGCTGAGAGATTCAAAGTGCACTTTTCTTTTGCAGTGCCATCAGGAAAAGAGAATGAGAGAGTAAACAACAACAGAAGTTAAGGAGAAAGACATTATGGCTTTTCCATGTCCACACATGTAGACATTTCATCTTTGATTCTTTGTAACATTGCGTGATATCACACTCAGATGTCCACAGTCAGGTTCAGCTTATATTTACATTTTATATTTACATCTGACACATGTATTTCGCTGTGGTTGTCACAAAACTGAAATATGTTTTCTATCTCGCCATTCTTTCCACAACTCTCTCACATGCTTAGAAATAAACGTATATATTTCTCATATATCTCTGTAGTCTCTCGTCATTCCACAGCTCCCATTCAAAGGCATTTGGCAGTAGCCATTTTGCATTTCTCCCAGTAGTATTCAGTTTATTTGGGGGATGCAAAATGGTGCAATCAATAGAGCATTTATATTTCCTTTTCATATTGAACTTTCTTCACATTTAGCCAGTGGTGCTGGTGATTTAAACATGGGAAAGCTGGCCAACTCGTCCTCCAGTCCTTTCATCCCGTCCCCTACCCCATCCCCCAGCCCCTCATCCACCTCGTCCCCTTCCCCTGACTCTCTCTCTACCCCCTCGGGTCTCCCCCTCTCCCTCTCCCCAGTCCTTCCATCCAGCATGTCTGCAGCTAAAATTTCAGAGGCGAACTTCAGCCCGCTGCTACTTGTGTTGCAGTTGGCATACAAGGAATTCCCATGGCCATTGCTGGGGTTGCTGTGGATCAGGGTGCCACTGTAGCTGTTGCCATGGTGACCACCATTACCCAGGTTGCTGAGGAGCGTTGTAGACGTAGTTGTGGTTGCCGTGCCGTTGCGCTTCTCCGTCAATCTGAATCCCTCGGACAGCAGGCTGGCACTGCTAGGGGACTGTGGTGTGGCCGAGGATCCCAGTAACTCCCGCCCCTTCTCTGACGACAGCGAATTATCTGGCAGGTGGTGGCCCTGCCGGCTAAGGCTGCGTCTACGGGTCACGAAGTAGATAAACACACCAAACAGTACACCCCCGGAGAAGACAAGGATGTAGATGGCCAGGACATGTCGACCCCCTGCTGCCGCCACTGCTCCTCCAGCACTGGGGCCTTCTAGTGTGAGCTGATAGGCTGCTCTGAGGCAGGGGGTGGGGTCTCTGATACCTGGTCCCGCCTCCTGGAGTAGAGTGACATGACAGAGAAGAAGAGAGAGTTGTTTGATTTGTGAGTTGTTGCTAAGGAATAATCTGACAAAGGCCACATTTCCCCCCTTTTTTAAATCACATATGTAGCTGAAATATGTTTGGCCTGTGTACCTGGCATGTGCAGATGTATTTTCCAAGACTGTCCTCTGTGACAGTCACCTCCAGGTCAGAGTGGTGCTGCCTGGTGAGTCTGTGGGGAGGATGCTCCCAGCTACAGGGCCTGGGAGACAGCTGGACACATGGCAACAAGAGGCGCAGACCCATGGAAACTCGCAGCTCCCTGATGGATGGGGTGCAACGCCCTGCAGGAGACAACGAGCAGGGAGACGGTAGAGAGTTGGGAGAGAAACAGACATATACATAGAGAATGTAAGTTAAAGTGATTTTTGTTTTGTTTGCAATCATATTAAACAGGTTTGAAATCAATAAAGGATTTGACATTTGGATAGTCTGTGATCTATAAATTAGATACACTTACCTTCTCCTGTCTCACACTTTTTCAAGGCGTTATCTATCATATCACCTGGACCAGGCCTGGACACACACACAAAATGGAGTCACATTTTTGCATGAAAGTTTTAGTTGGAACAGAGATCTTTCCTTGGTGCCTGCTCTTCTAAATATTTCTTTAGTGAATTGATTAGTCTATCAATATATATCAATAATATTAATCAGTTACAATTTCAATAACTGATTAAGTGAATTATACACAGAGAATGCAAAAAATGATTGATCACTTTCTTATGCTGCTGGTTACACTTCATACTGATAACTGATGATGGGTTTTTGATTGATGATGATTTACTTTTCATATATGATTGTTTAAATATTTTACATTTTATTAGCAGTGGTTAAAACCGTATGATGTAACTGACAATTGCCTATTGTTAAATGTAGCAGTAACACAGATTTGTTTCTTACATTACTATATTGCTTACATACTGCATTACTTGATAAATGTGCGTAGGTGCAAGGAGAATCTTGGTCAAAGGTTTGAAACAAAATGACTAATGAACATGCTATGAAGAAAAATGGGTCAGTTTTTACACATAACTAAACCTTTTTCTAACCCAATACTGATGCTGTCTGCCTTTGCTTTTCATTTTTGGAAGTCTTCCAGTTCATTGTGATATTCCTGTAGTACTCACTCTGCTGTTGTGGACCTGCAGGCTCCTTCCTCTGGGATCCACACACAGCCCAGGCCTCTGGCTCTGGCACACACCTCACAGCTGGGATACAGAGTGCAGCCTTCAGCCTGGACACGAGCCAGAGACAGAGGGCTGCCCACCAGAGCCCAGCCCTGGAAACACAGGGAACCATTACAGAAACACTGAGCAGTGTGACAGATATTTCTGAGCACTGCGGATCAATATATGCACATCATGCACAACATATGTGTGTGAAAAAATGTATAAATGCTCTACCTGGTGCAGTAATATATTGTTGACTGGCTCCTGTGAGGTGAACAGAGGAATCTCCTGCAATAAGGTGGCATTCTGGCCCACTACTGCCACCCGGTGGAGCTCCCCACGGTCTGCAACACACAGCAACACACATGGTGAACAAAGAATCTTATCTTTTATCAATAAGTTCTTCACTTTCCCAACTTTAATTTGCATTAACCAACTTTTGACAGCCAGTTTGAGTTTATCTCTTCACATTTTCTCTCTTGTTATCCCAGCCTCCAGCTCCCCTCACCTGTTCCAAGGTGCAGCACAGCTCCTTTCTGCTCCTCTCCAGCGCCAGTCTGTATAACAGCCAGCTTTGTGTATGTGATTCCTTTCCGGACCAGCAGGGGCGCTGCCGTGACACTGTTCTCCATCAGGGGGTGGTCCCTCACAAATGTCAACACCTTGTCGGGAAGTTTCAGGGAGGACTCGAACCCCTCTGCCTTCAAAGCATTGTTCAAACACTAAAAGATGTGGAGGGAAGGACAAAACAGAAGTAATGTCTGAGTCATTAATATTAAGGGAGTAGAATGTAATGAAATTGTATAAAGTAGAGGCGCATATGCAGCAGTTCTATAGTTGTAGAGTTTAGTACCTGGCCAGGCCTGGGTGTGGGGACAGGTTCAGGGTTGATCCAGTTCTCACAGGTCTTCTTCAGCTCTTTAAAGGGACCGTCCATTACTTTGCTGATGTCAGACAGACTGAAAACACACACTGCTGATACCTCGTCACGCTCCCTAAAAAGAAGAAAAAGAACAATTAACGATGAAAATATTTTATGGGGGTTAAGTTCCATACCATCCTTGAAATAAACCCTACAGGATAGCTTGTTTGGAGAGAGAGCAGCTCTGGTTTCCTTTGCTTACCACTGGGAGGTGAACAGTCCGTAGAAGTGTGTGCTGCTGGGGTCGCCTGGTGTGTGTTGTGTGGTGAAAACATCAGTTAGGATGTTGTAGCGCTGACCGCTTGGTTTGTCCTCACACACAAGCTCAGCCTTGAGGAAGGTGGTCCAACGTCGCTGCAGAGTCTTCATCCCTCCCACATCAGACTGCACGGACAGGGAGAGAGCGATTAAGCCTCACAGTGAAATCATACAAGGCGATCAAT